ACAGTCTATAATTTCACACGGAGACTCATGCACTTGGTAATCATTACTGGCTTCCCTGCCAAGAGCACACAGCTCTCAGGGTCTTTTGTGTTTGTTTTTTATTTGTCTCTTGAGTAAACATCTCCTTATCTATGTGAATTACTACATGTTTCTAAGCCATGAATAAATCTTTCCACTACCTTTGGTTTGCATTTTTTTTTCTTTTTGCTCAGCCACACATATGATTATCCAACTAAAGCGACCAAGCCTTTTTCTGATTATGATTCAAGATAATGAAATTCACTTCCAAATGACCTATAGTACATCAAAAAAAAAAAAAAAATCTGGTATCTTCACCACATGAGGTTAAACACACATTTTCCAAAACTGCTTTATACCTGCTATTTAAAATAATGCTGACATGGTGTATCATATGCAGTTGTATGTGTTTCACTGACTTATCATAGCTTTCATCTGTTTCATGCTCACCACTGTCAGATGTTTACATGGGAGGCACTTCAGAAAGCACTGTTTGTAGTGTATATTTATATTAAAGCCTAAGGGAGGCAAAGAGTTTATGTCTATGTATCGAGATGTTTTTGTCTCCATCTCAGACACAAACATCACCTTAAATAATAAGCACAAGAGTTGCTTAAGTGCTTGAAGCTCCAGCCTGCTCAAGTGCTTTTACTTTTTAAGAGAATGAAGTTTGTGTTCTGACCTTATTTCTTTACTCTCTTCCAGTGGGTGGGAGGGGAGGGGGGGAAGGTAACCCAACCCAGGGAACATGGTGAACAGTCAGCGTTTGGGATACGGACTGGTGCCCAAGGATGAGCAGCTAATTCCTTGGCATTGGTGTGACAGGGACAGGAGAACAGCAGCCTCGGGGAACAAGGCTTGCTAGACATGGTTTCTAATCACTGATTTGGGAGCTGGCTGTTAGTGAGAGGGTTTTACCCAACCCAGAATGGACCACTTCCAACACAAGCAAGTTGAGATGGAAACAGAAATGGAGTATTTCCAACCATGTTCCTGATACAGAAAATGACACTTACAGAAGTTTCTTTATGCTGTTTTTACTTTGTGCTATCTTTATGCTTTCTTTTTTTCCTTGGTATTGGAGGCTTGAATAGCTCATTGTGTACTTTATAGGGCAAGTTCTTTTCAAGTTGATATTTCCCTTCTTATACCCAGGGCAAGTTCTTTTCAAGTTGATATTTCCCTTCTTATACCCCCCCATCATCAGTTGTTTTCCCAATATTTGGGGAGGACAAGGGCCTCTTTGGATCAAGATGGGGTCAGGCTCTGGGTAAGTCCAAGCAGAAATAAAGAGCAGCCACTGCCTCTGTACACAGCATGGTAAGAACATTGGTGAGAATGGGTTTGAAGATGCTAGACAGAAGGGCCACAAAAATTACCCAGCACTGAAAAGCAAACCTTGCAATAGAAGTCATCATCTCATCAAATTTTTCAGGGAGAAGATAAAAGAGGTGACGTGACTACTGAGTCAATGCTTGTTTTTAACTTTGCAGAGAAGGTTCTCCTGGACAAGGACCACGCGTTGCTGCAGGTCAGTATGAAGATTCTCACTCTTACATGGCGGACTGCTGAGACTTTTTCTTATGCCTGGCATCATACAGGTAGCCACTCTGATCAGAGACAAATCCTCACATGATACAGGGGAAAAGGCATTTGCAAAGATAAGTTCATAATACATCTGAAGCATTCAAACGGCTACTGTAAAAGAGAAAGCCCCATGAGAAAATGAATGATTATGTCTTCAGAGCAAGTCTTGAACAGCATTCAGTATACAGGACCTGGGACTGAATAATGGATAGTGAGGGAAAAGAGAAGGGAATGGGACTTTAACCATGTTCATTAAGCAAAGGGAAAAATACCCAATCAAATACCAACAGTATATGCTGATGACCTGTTGTTAGGCACACAGTCTTCATACTAGAATTTATTAATTTTACTTAGAAATTCTAAAATTAATTTTGAATTGTCCTCATTTTAAAAAGTTTTTCTATGTATAGCATTCTAAAGATACGAATACACACAGATGTGTGCTTACAATGACACTCAGTTTCATAAATAAATGTGCACACAAACACTTCCAAACACGTTCTGCATGGTCCAGCCTCAGGACATGTGGTGGATAGTTCTCCAGGTGCCTGACATTTCAGCAGGCAGCACTGGTGTATAGAGGAAGAACACATTTCAAAGCTAAAACTCCATGGCTGATCCCACCATGAAACTCAGCTAAGGAGGAAAAGGCAGGCCAAAATGTGTCCTCTTTTCAGAGTCCTCTAACAGGTGGGAGCCCAGGATCACAGCCTGGGGTGCAAAGTGCATCGCACCACAGTCTGAAGTCAAGCTGAGAGCTTAAAGCCTCTAAGCTTTCCTGGCAGCCTCAGAAAACTAGAGAGGAGCCCAAAGCACACATCACCTGCAGAGGGAAGATCATCAACAGCAGAGGTTCTGCCCCAGCACACCTGCCTTCTCCCAAGAGCTGGGTTTCTTCCTATTCCCCATACCTTTCTAAAGTTTACCAGAAGGTAAGCAGAGCCAGCCTTTGCCTCATGAGGCACATAGCTGCTTCTAAGTATTATGTCATTAATTTCTTGATCAACAAGTGTGTAACTGCTCAACACCTCTTGGAAACTTGTAATTTGCATTTCTAATAAATCTTTAAAATTATGTGGAGCATCACACACATTAATACTTACCTTTAAAAATACTTCCAGTGCAGATAGCAATCTGATTCAGAAGAATTTTAGTGGCTGTAGGCATGAAGAGGAAATTATTCATTTAGGGCCTTACACTATCCTCAGAACACCTTTATCAGTTTTTATGATTTCTTAAAAATGTTAATTCAAAGGCAGGCATGTGGAACTCTAATCAGAGAGTAGCAGAGCCTTGCCACACTCCATAAAACCTCTCATCGGTGCAGTGTAACTGAAGTAATACACAGAGAGCCCTTCCTGCAAATTCCTCCCTGAAGATTCCTACCAAAACCAGAAAGACTAATTTAGCTTTTCCCAACACACCATGAACGTGGGCTGACCAATCTGTAATTAGAAAGAGTGTGTTTTGTGAATGAATTTGTTGTTACAATTAAATTTAGTTCTAAAGACAAAAAACAGTTATAAGTATTTTTACCAGTGGGGTTTTTTTTCCTCTTTCAAAAAAAAAAAGTCTGACAAATATTGAGACCAATTTACTAATCTCAATTTCTCAGTAGTAGTATTTATATGACTAGAAGTTCATTGCACAAGGCAATGCAGGAAAGAACAGCAAACACAGGAAGGCAGCACAGGAAAGGGAAATAATGGACTTTTTGGTGGAGACATTACATCATTGGCTTTGCAATATATCTGTGTTTCAGAGCCAGAATAACATCAGCCAGCTCCAAGATAAGGAACACATTTATTTCGAAAATAAATCTTGTTCAGATTTCATCATAATGTCAATATTTGCCATATTAATACTACAGTTCCTCTCAACTAATACTTAGTAGTTAATAATATGTTGTGTGCAAAGGGAAAAGATCTTCCGAATGAGCTGTGCAGATAACCTGGGAATTGCCAGGTTCAGAATGTGGGTCACTCCGCATTTGGAGGGTTCCTTCATTGCTGGGCGCAAGAAGGTAGGAATAGATCTTTAACTGGCAGAAAACAGCTGACTTTCACCCAACAGGGCTTTGTCTTGGGCGTTTTTTTCAAGATTTTAATATCAAACCTGACATCTAGGACAAATTATCAGGCTCCTGTCAAAAACTGTGGACAGTCTAGCCTAGGCATAGCAGGCCATTGCAGCAGACTTTATGCAGAAACTCCTCCCTGCCCTATGGCAAGATGTAGACCAGTGGGAGGCCAGGCTCTGGCGACCAGCGTGCTGGGGTTGGGCTCTGGCTGCGGCTGCCTGGGGAGTCATCGATGAAAGAAGAGGGGCAGCAGCCAGTGAAGCTGCTACATGGACATTATGGAAGTGCTGAGGACATTGCAGATGGAAAACTTGGTTTTGGCCAGCACTGAAATCTTGAACCCCTTGACTTAGATAGTGGACTTACACTTCATTAAATTTGAGTGGAAGGTGCAGAAGGACTTCCTTAAACATAACCCTAAGAAATGCAATTTTCTATAGGCCCAAAGAGCAAGATGCCAATTGCTACTCTGCTAAGCCCAAAATAAACAGATGACTTCATGGTGCACTGCTTGCTGTAAATTTTCTACACATTTATTGCAATGCACACTGTCAAGGGCATCTGTGTGTCTCTCCAAAGGAAGCACATGTTTCTGCAGTACACAGAGTTATGAACACATGGAGCAGTCAGCAGTATCCACCCCCCTCACCCAGCTCACATGTGGTGTGTAGGTTTGTCCTATTGTTGTTGCTGTCCCTAATATACATGTAAGTGACTTGGAGAATTTGCAGCTCATTGTTCAGCAGCAGCTCTCCCGTAACCCTTGAGGAGGTGGATGAAGCATGCCTTCTGACTCGGCATTTACCATTGCCTGCTGATGACTCAGGGATCTGCTCCAAGGGAGTAACCTCCCCTTTGTGAACCTCAGTTTGCATCTCTATTGTGCCCCAGCCTGAATCTTGACATCTGTGTTCTTCCACTCACATAGGTCTCTGCATAAACCTGCCCTCCTCATGCTACTGAAGTGGACCTCACTGATAGCTATGGTGATCAAAGCTACTGCCCACCACCATACTGACTCTGTCCTTCAGATCCTGTTGTCTTGCAGGAATCAGAAGATATGAGCTTGACTAGATGGCTTAGACTACCATTCCCTTATCTGTTCTGTCAGATGTGTCATGTGTGGCCCAGTGTGGCAACCCCCACGCTGTGCAGTGAGCTCAGGACATGCAGAGCAGGTCCCCAGACCACCATCCTCAGCAATGTACAGAACAAACAGAACTGTCATAATTCACAGGAGAACAAAGGCTGATCATTTTCTGCCTGAACTGAACATTTCTTTGCAAAGATCCATGACTCACCAAGTAGAAAATAATCCAGATGATTCTGTTTATTGTTATACCAGTTAATTTTCCTTATTTCAAAATTGTCCTTTATTTCAGTAAGATTCCTAGTAATGCAAATGTCATTTAGCCTTATTTAGATAAACCATCTTAAGTGCCTAGATTTGGCAGAGAAGTGCTCTTTCTGCCCAAAAATTAACTCTGAATTTGTATAATACTCTCTGTGAACAATGTTTTTATTAGCTTTATAGAATACTCTTCCCCTCTACAGAAAGATGGTTACTGAAAGTACAAGAGATGATATGGAATAAAATTAAATCTAACATTCAAAACAATAATGAGTATTTCTACATATCAACATTCATACTAAGTTTAAAATTAGTACTATTTGGATCACAGACCACTGTGCTGAATGCTATGGCAAAGAAACTATATAAGCAATGATATTACCATTTAAAAATAGTTAACAGTGTGAATTGGAAGATTTAATGTGTTTTCTTCTTTAACGTACAGCCCCATTCCCAGAATTTCACTGGACCACGCGGACAGACCAACTGGCACAGCTGTCTATCAAGGCTGAATTAGATGAAGACAAACAATACAGGCTTTGTGGTTCAGCTGAAGTAGCAGCCTCAAAAGTTTCCATTTCTCATCTGAGGCACTGTGGGAGCATTGTCTTCTCCCTCTCTGAAAAGAGAATGGAACAATTATGTTACTGAAATTCCTCTGCAGTGGGTCTGAAAGACTGTTTATGTCCAGCCAGGGAGACAGGGAAAACTAAAAGCTGGGATTTCATGACAGCAGGTGGGGGCAGTTTCAGGGTATATACTTCAGTGACATAATGGTCCTGATTCTTCTCTTTTAGGGTAAAGCCAGTGATGGAGGATTTACTAGCAATGGAGGAAATGGCAATAAAAATACAAAGTTAAATGCAGTGCTGAACGTATTAACTTGAAACAAAGCTTTGCAATTGGCTTTCTGAATCAATCAGGTAATTGATTCTAAATGTGGAGAGCATGGCGATAAACTAGGAAGGAAAATATACTAGTCACAGAAAATTTTTTACTGTTTACAGTTTTATGGGCCCTACCAAGTTAAGTGCTGAGTACACAGCTCTCAGGGGAATCAGGTGGTCTTAGGAGATAGAAAGCAATCACCCAATTTGTCCCTCCTAATAGCAGTATTATTCATTAGCATCAGAAATAAATCTATACTTGGTTCCATGCAAACAGATATTCATGTGCGTCAGCATAACCTCAGGAAATCAGCTGCTCAGGTTGCCCCAATGCTCTTGGTTCAGAAGTCGTAGATATGAGAGCGCCAAACTATTTCATTCTGGTTTACTAATAATCTCATTTTTTCCTGAGGTTATTTTAGTGCTAACTATAGCTCAAAATGTACACACAAAAAATATGTAAGTGATTGGGTGCAAATGGTCACCTGGGGCTACCACTGGTTGCAGGAAGAGTCAGCACATCTCTGTAGAGTTTCCTCTCATTTTTTTAAGGAGGAAGGGAGTGTAGAGGCTCCCAGTCACCGGCAGTGCTGTTAAGAATTCGGAATCTGTGCCACGATTTCCACGTGCTCCCTTGTTACCATCCAATATCCCCAGAAGTCATGGTGTCTGGCAGCAGGACCATTTGATGGTCAACTTGAAGAACTTTCTACCGGCTGCCTCCTAAGAGAGGCTGTAAGCCCTTCACAGAACAGCTGGTTTTAGCCACTGTTACACTCTATGTAATAGCACAAAGGATTCCCAGTTCTTTCTGGAGTTTGCTGTAAAGGTCTAACATTTAAAAAAAAAATCTAATAATAACAAGTTATTCTCCATCTCTGGAAAAACTTGGCATGTTTCTCAATGAGGAGGATGCAGGGACCAACCCCTCCTTCAAGTGAACAGAAGGTTCCTCTTGTGTGGACAGAAGCAATCAGGGAATTAGACTCAAAAATCTGAGTGAGGAAGCTCGAAAGCAGCCAAAAACTTTGTGTTCTTAGGTTCCATGTAGGCAAATTAATGCTGTGACACAGTGACACTTTCTCAATCTCAATTAGTGCTAAACTAATTAAGAAAACTATTTTATACACTGCAGTGAGTAGTATCTCTCTTCTTTCTTGGATAATCCCTAGTGTGATGTAAGGGTGATTGAGTATCTAATTGCTCCTTAATTGAATGCACATCTTGTACATTTTTCACTAGTTCAAGCTTAATGCTTTTAGTCCAAAAATCAAAGTCAGTGAAATTAAGTTGAACTGGGATTTGTGCAGCTATTGTATTACTGCATTACATTTGGAAAGCAGCCTAATTATGAGCCAGTCTGAAGATTTCAGTTGCGTTTGTTATAGAAATACTTAACATATTGTCTGACAAAAGACTGATTGTATATATTGGTAGTGTTGTTACTCATGTTTACCTTTTACTCCTGTTTAAGTATAATTTTTCTGCCATGCTAAATTAATAGTACTGGTCTATAATATATGTGGTCAAGTAACACACTAGGCTAAAGGTTTATGTAGGCATGAAGATACCCACTTTTCTTCTGAAAAGTTTCTGGAAATGTTATATTTGAGCGACAGTTGTACAAATGGGCATGTGTATTATAATCAGAAAATTGCCTAGATGCCCTGCTTGTTTATACATTATATTTCTGCCTCTGAAATTTCTTTTGCTTAGGTTGAGTCCTACATATAGTAGAGTCCCACTGCTTCTGGTGGAGTCCTCTACAGATCAGACAACCATTCCCAAAGAGATGCTTTCAGGATCAGTGCCATACAGTGTAAATATCTGCAAAATCTGAGATCTATTATCACAATACCCATGGTTTAAAAAAAAAATAATATATTAACAAGGTCAATCAAAATATTTTTTCTAATTCTTCTGTATTCTCCTCTCAGAGAATAAATTTCCTTGTACAAAACTGGGATAAATGCAAGACTGTAACTTTATCTCAGAAACAAGAAGCAGCAGCAGAAGCAAAGACAGGGCCAAACTGGTGTATTCTTAAGAACCAAAGGTCTCAATGTTCCCATAGTAATAGACAGAATACATTTAAAAGAGAAGATATAAGAAAACTTCAGTGAAAAGGATTATTTTTCAAAGTCTTCCAGAAGTGTTGAGAAAGTGCAAATAAACGGACTACGGAGAAATGAAATAGGATGGCCATGATAATACGCCTTTCCATCTGATAGGGAGGAAATAAGATGCCCCACTGAAGCAGCCTTAGGTCAAGATCACTACACAAGATCAAAAACTTTCTTCTGCTACTTAAAAGTAGTCAGTCTGCTTTCTGGAGAGTTTTTCCACCTCTTCTGTCTTACCATATTCCTTGCCATTATTGTCTCACAGTCTCTGGTTTTTTTTCCCCTATAGATGTATCTTGCCTTCTCCTCCTTAACACTAGGTTAAACTAAAAAGTTTAAATAGTTTAAAAAAAAATCAACAGCAAAACCCACTTTAACACTGACTACACAATATCATTGTCCTATACCTTCCTAAAAACAGCACCTGAAAGTATGGTCAGGCACGGATTCAGAGTGCCTCAGAAAGAGAACTGACTACCTTATGAATCCTTATCTTTCCTGAAACACTTTGCATTCCCTCCATGAAAAGGTCACAATTTATTGAGTCTATATCCAGTTCTGTGGGCATTTAACAACATCTAGCTAACTAGAGTATGCCTTTGTTTCTCATGAGCTCTGGGGATGCATCAAGATCTTTTAAAAATTACATTAAGTTTTGCTTTGTAGCACTGGTCTGTCATAACACCACATCTATGGCATTAGTCATAAAACACTGCTAACCACAGCCACTGCTGGTATTCCTAAAACATTTTCAGTAACCAAAATAACAGTCTTATTTGCTATTTATTTTTAAAACACTGCTGTCTGTTTAGCAAGAGTTTGTTTGCATGCTTTCATTGCATTGTTTTCATCCATATGAAATCATTAGAATTACAAATTCCAGTAAGAGTGAGGAGCTGTGACTACCTTGATCTTCAGTTTCAATGGAGTAATAATGTTCCGCTTAAAACTTCCTGTGTGATTTCATCTAGGTAAAAGAGTGCACTCCCACTGCCTAACATATATAACATCGCTGAAGGAGGAATGCATATTGCAGGCTTTCTTCTCTGTCTGTATACCTGTACGTCTTTCTAATATCCTTGACATTTGAGAGCTGTTACATTACTATATTTCACACATACTAACCTGGTGTCTGTATTTTAAAAAACAGGTGTAGTTTTATCAAAGGTGACTTAAGCTTCCTACTGTTTTGCCTCACCACTAATTTGCAGCATTTTCCCCATAAGTGAAATTAACATGACAGTGTTTCAGTGGGTGTTCACACTCTTAACTTTTGTTTTGAAATTACCAACTGTGGTGGTGCAATTCCTCCCTCCCTCCCACTTCTCCTTGTTGGGCCACTAGGTGCTTGGTGTGATTCTAACCCCCTCCGGGGCCACATACCAACCTGGGGAGTTAAGGACTGGTAATAGAAGTAAAGAGCATTAGGGTGCCCCTTTGACCAGCCCGGCTCCTGTTCTCCCCATCAACTGAGAACAACAGGAGAATTGCACACTCATCAAGTTCTTGTGCAACTGGTTGAAGACACCAGCATACCTCATTGTTCAAGCTGGGCCAGAGTGAAAATTATCTTGGACCCTATAAACAGTGACCCCAAGTGAGACCCTCTGAGCTTTCCCAGACTGGAGCAGGCCTGTGACCAGCACCTCCTCTGAGTTCGGACACCTCTCAAGTACCAAAACCCTTGAGATACCATCCGCTGTTGGAGCTGATGGGAGGCCAGGGCAAAGTCGGTCCACTCAAGTCTCAGTTACTGCCCGTTGAGGAATACCAATGCATTGTGATTATTTACTCTAAACTCGAGAAGAGGGAAATTTTAACTTTGAGCTAGATCTTCTTTCACTCACTCTGAAAATATATACATGTATATATGTATTGTTTTAAAGTACCGTATAATAAGTTAGTGTGAATTTAGTCATCTTCGCATGTGTAGTTAAGTTGCTATTTTAATCATATCATATTTTACTGAATTATTTTGTAAATCTTTCAATTGGTTAATGATTAAATGCTGCTAGTCATTAATAAATCTTGATTTACTGCTAAATCATTACTGTGTTAATATTTTCATCTGCGACACCAATAAATGTACTGTGAGGGTGTTTTTTATGACAGGCACTCCCAGCTACATTATCACTTCCCAAGTAGCTGTGTACAAAACATACATGGTTAATGGTAAGCAGCAGGAAATTACATTCTCAAAATGCTTTTCATAAAAAAAGCTGATGATAACAGTGCATTGTGGATAGCAAAGAATATGTGATTCTGATAGAGAGTCACAGGTCATGAAATTTGGGAGCCGTTGTCAGCATGAAGTATCTTATTTGAAGCATAAGTAGGGGTTTGATTCCTAGGCTACCTTGTGATTTTTTTAGCTTTGAAAAGGAAGCAGAGTATCTTCTTTCTTTTTTCCTTCTTCCTTAAAGGCTAAGGGATTTTGACTGTTTTCCATTCCTCCACCAATATTTGTGTATTTCTATGAAGAGCTCAGTAAAGGATTGAACAAGGGTAATTCCAGTATGGTACTAATTCTGGAAATGGCTGCAACTCAAAATGGTTTTCTTTCTCATTTAGGGCTTGATCAGTCCCTATAATGATGCTCTGGCCTGGAC